AGACCAGCAGGGATCAATTGAATTTGAGCAGTTTGGGTCTGAGAAAGCTAGAGTGGAGCAAACTGAGTGCAGCATCCCATATTATCCTGGAGGGTGTGTGCAGTAGTCAGGGGGGCTCTGCGTCAGAGTCCCCATGTTCCTGAGCAGGACTAGGGCTGGGAAGGGTCTGAGCTTCCTCGGGGCTTTCTTCTAATTGGACTGGGAGGGAGTCGGCTGTTGCTCCAGAGCTTTCCTGCAAACGCTGTCTAACAAGACATGCGTCTCTTGAGCTCTTGTTTTGCTGGAAGCTATTCTCATCTTGATATTTCCAGAATCAAAACTACCCTGAAAGGAAGGTACTTCTTTTTCTCATCAGTAGGCTGACATGTCTGATAATCTGCACTGATAAGCCTCCCGTATTTAAAGCCATTTAAATATGCTCTGAAGAAAGTCAGGTTACTTAAAAGTGCCAAAGTGGCAATTTAGGAAAAGGACCTCTTAATGTAACCTTTGATCTTGTTTATGAGTTTAGGTGAATATCTTGCCCCCGGAAGATGTGGGTGGTGGTAGCCTGCTTTGGGCATCTCCCCTGTGGCATAATAGTGCCCATTAGCATTTAGTAGGTCCTTAGTGCATCTTGAATGAGTGCATTTTCTCCCTCATATTAGTTTGATCTAGGACTGGGAGAGAATTAAGAGTACAGGTTTATTCTAGGTCGTTCTGTGCCAACTGTTTTAAAAGGAGAAAAAGACCATTTTGTCTGTGTTTTGAAACTCATCTGCATTAATTGAGCCATATCTCACTGTCCTAGTCTAGGAACAAAAGAAAAAAATTTTTTTATAAAAACCCACATTTGTTGCATTAAATCAATTATATACTCTGAATCTATACTGTACTGGTTCATTTTTCTTAAGGAATCCTTTATGAAATGACTTTTTAAAAAAAAACCATCTGCTTACTACCATCTTGTTCTAATCTTTTTTTTTTTTTTTTTTTTAATAAATTTTCTCCTTATGGGCCTGTCTCATTGGAGATTAATGAGATTAATGCTCAGTTTCTGTACCAAAACTACATGGATCGTGCCAAAAAAACAAAAAACAAAAACAAAAAAAACCAACCAGACGTAAATACCCCTCTTTTTCCAAGAGCTGCTGTATTGTGGACCATTTTGTGCCCAGCTGGCCTTTTCTATGTCACCTCTTATTACTCTAGCTTACTGCCCCAGTAGTGGACAGGTACAGAGGGAGTGTGTGGGGTGGCCTTTCTACTCGACATGACAAAATAGGCTATCAAAAACTGTGTTTTAGTAATTCACAGAGAGACAGGCTCTCTGTTTTCCTATTATACTTGGACGGGAGAGCCTTTTACCTTGTGAAATGAAATTGTAACTACAGTGGAAAAACCTATCACCCATGCCCAGAGTCGGCCTGTGAAGAAATGCTGGATGGGCAGCAGACCATGCTGCATTTTCTCATCCAAATTGAGAGTCTGCCTGCCTGTCTTTAGTTCGGGTTTTTATTCCACTCTCAGTCTTCAGATGACCTCTGTCTTCCGGGTCATACTACATTACCCGGGAGGTGATGATTACAATTACGGACTCATTACTGCCTTGCTGAAATGTTCTTTGGTGAAAGTTAGGAATTTACGTAAAATCAGTTAGTGGTGGAATTGATGAGATGTTTACCAGACCTGGTAGCTGGTAACTGGTTTTGTGTCTGACTTCTCAGCTGAGGCAGGAGAGTAGGCAGGGAAATAACTACTGGAACATTTTTAGAAACGACTTTTCTTGATAAAAGTTAGACATTTATCCTGTCCTATATAAAACCACCACCATTGTCAATTTTTTTTTTCCTTTTTAAGAAGAGTTCTTAGGCTTAATGTGACACATTTGTGAGCATGGTATTAAGACTAATCAAAGAAAAATATGATACCTGGCCCATAAGACCTTAGAGGCTGAAAAAGGACTTGATCAATCTGAATGTCTGTGGCACAGCCGAAATATAAAATTAGATCTTCCAACCCATTGTGACCCAGAAAGGGAGACCATGCTGTTGTTAGCTTACGTTTTAGATTTTCGAGGCTTTGGGGAGGAGTGAAGGCAACAGTGAGGGCTTTGGCCATTCTGTGGGAAGACTTGACTAACAGTCTTTCTTATAAAATGCTTTCATATTTTCTTAGTACTTTGATTTCCTTGGCCTTCGATGTACATGCCCTAATTTGTTCCTTCTAGCTACTCAGAGAGATGGGCTGGGCAGAGACCATTTGCCACCATTTGACAGGTGAGGAAACTAAGCTGTAAGGAAGTAAAGGGGTTTGAACAAGATTACATGGCTAGTGATAATTTGGGGGTAATTCAGTTCACTGAAGATGTGAACCAAACATGAATATGACATGACCCCATCCTCGTGTTTGCTCTGACTCTTCATCATTGTTCTTTTCACGTGTCCCCCACCTGTCTCTTGAGGCTCTTGTTTAATTAACAGTCATTGCATACTAGTTAATAATTACTTAGTTATGCATGGTATTATTCAAGGGATATAATGATAGTACTTGCTACATGCCTGATTTATATTCTTTATTTTGTTGTTATTGTTGTTGTTGTTTTGCCCGATTCATATTCCTGTCCCATAGGTGTCTGACTCTACATTGGGTAGATGGATGGATGGATGAGTAGATAGATAGACAGATAGATCAAATGTCATGCGTATTAAATAAGCATGTGAATAGATAATACAATTTTTACATCGCATATGTAAGAACTTTTCAAGAGAATATATTTGGGAGTTTCTTAGGTGAGGAGGATGAGCGGGGAGTTTTCAGCATCTTATTTTTTTCCTGAGACTTTTAATAATTTTTGTTGGAGATACGTGACAGTGTCATTACAGTAGGATCAATAACTAGAATTTACCAGAACTTAGCCCCGTTTAAACCTGGCATGTGTTCCCCTGTGCCGTGTTATGAAGTGTGGTGGCAAAAGCATCATTTTTGGAATCAGATGAGCCTAACCTTCTCCCTTAATGTTGCAGTGACCTTTAGCTAAGGTCCTTAACCACTTTGAGCTTTAGCTTTCTTGTCTGTAAAACGGGGATGTCACGCTTATAATGCTGTTGTGAGGATTCGGTAGCCCAGCGCTTAGCATAATGATGACTCTCAGACACGGTGGCTGTGACGGTGGTGGCTACCGCAGTCTTTACCACTAATTCCTCCTAGTCAGGGGTGGCCCCGGGCTTTCTAGGGTTAATTCGGTAGCCAGGTTTTGCTTTTTAAAATTACCGCAGACAACTTCCGTATTTTGGTTTACTGTATGTCAAGTTTGATAACGCGGTCTTCTGTGTCACCCACATTCTGGTTACTTTGTTGATGAAGACGAGACACATCAAGGAGTTTTGTCCAAAGACCTTTAAGCTCTGACGCATATTAAGTTTCATAGCACTCTGGTGTTTGGGGTAAATATCACTTTAAAGAGTGGAGGAAGAAGACGACACAGCTTAATTACTTACGTGTGATGGTCGCCTGGTCCGTTATACATGAATAAGACAAACCTTCCAATAGCTTTTCTTTCCGCAAAGGATGTTCATAAAATGCCTGGAACTTCAGTGGGCGGTCAGCAAGTGTTATCCTTCTTGTTACCATGTCCTGTATCTTTCCTTTTTTTTTTTTCTTACCAGTTCTAGTGAAACTGCCCTGATGCTGACCTTGTCTTGCCCTGGACTGTTGTGTGTGGAATCTTCTCCTCCAGACCTGGCCCCCCGCCCAACCCTCACCCTCTAGCTCTCTGCTCATCCTGCTTTCCATTTGCCCATCCCCGCGCCCGGCACTCAGTGCTTTAGTGCACTGCACCCTGCACGCGGCTATTAGGTTATTCTTTCAAAATATTATTTGCATATAATTCTAGCTCTGACTCTCTCTTTCCTCTCCCCTCTCTTCTGTCCTCCCCTCCCTTCCCTGATGCTCTTTCTTGTCCTCTTCATGTGTCTTTGTATATTCCAGTCTCTTGGCTTTTACTTCTGTGGCTCTGCTTTCTGGCCCCTCTGCCCTCATCGTTTTTAGTTACTGTTTTCTGACCAGTCTTCTTCTAGCAGATCATTCCTGATTTCCGAGTTGATGGCCCCCTTTTCAGGACGTCTGTATTTTATTTGTTACACGTTGGCAGTTGCCTGTGGTGTATAATTTTCTAAATGTCTCTGATTATTGAACTTCCTCTTTTGGTAGAGGGGGGAACTGAGGCCAAGAATGAAAAACAGATTTGCCTTTGTCACCATCACAGTGCTTTCTTCACCGCAGAAACGTAGGTCGTCTGTGTGTATGTGTGAGAGAGTTTCCAGGGTGAGGGAAGGGAAACTTAGTTTATTTAGTTCTGCCTTCCAGTTTCCAAACATAACTCCTTTTTTTCCCTCTTTCATGTTTCTTTCTCTCGTGCATTTTCCTCCTTGTATTTTCACCTTCGCTTTGTTTAATTCTCATCGTTCTTCCTTTTGTGTCCATAGCAGCTCGGTGTTTGAGGGGAGGGAGCCCCAAGTGGGGATGTGTAGTGTAGTCCAGCGTAAAGCCTTCCGTCTACATCTTGAAACTGATTCTGCCATGCCCTGCTCTCTGCGGACCTCTCGGTAAACACCAGCCATCTCATCTCAGAAATCATTACCGCCTTTGAAGGTGAACTGTACGGGGTAGTTCAGATTATACTGAGTTCCAAGAATGTAAATTCTGTGATAGGGTGAAGGGTGTTGGCCTGTTTCTCCCCGGAAAAGCAACCTCCTGAGCAATCTATTTGAAAGTTTGAAATTTGGGAAAACGAACTTCTGGAATACGTGACCAGGAAGGCAGCAGAAGGAAGAAGACTGAGCCGGTTAACATTTACTGAACACCCACTGTGAGTAGAACCTTGTTGAAGAGATGTTAATAAAACCACAGTGTATTAAGGGTGAATGGTGATAAAATGATTGACAAGGAAACAGAAGGGAAGCACAGATTTTAATAAAATGTCAGGGTTTCAGTATGCACGTGATTCCCTTAACGCTATTCAGATGTGTCCATAGCTGTGGTTGATTTGCTTCAGGAATTAACAGATATAGACACCCTCCACGAGAGTGAAGAGGGAGCGGAAGTACTCATCGATGCTCTGGTAAGTTGCACATCCGGCTGGGGTTCTGTAGGCGTGTGTAAGGTGTTGGCCGTCATCACCATTGTCTCCGTGGTGGCAGCCGGGTGGGTGGGAGCTCTGTGGGAAGGCTGCACTGCCGGAGGAGAGTCCGACATTGGCAGTGCAGCTTGTGGGGTACTTTGTTCTTTGGAACTGCGTGGAGGGGGTTGCTAGGGGTTGTAGAGGCCTAGTGTTTGTTAAGTATCTGCTGTAGGCAGGCCTTTTCTCATTATTTTTCGCTTTACGTGATCCTCACCGTACCCTCTCAGATGGGTATTAACAACCACTATTCCCGTTTCCAGCTGTGACACCGAGGCTTAGAGAGGCGAAACGACTTGCCCGTGGCCACACAGCTGGGATTGGAACCTGTGTTCTCTTTGACTCCGTGTTTCTGTTCTCCTACCCCTAACTGTGGTGCTACTGACCTTTTCACAAAGAGTTTTCACAGATATTTCTTCTCTCCAAGCGCCAGCGAGGACAGATACCATTATGATTTTACAGACAGGGAACCGGAGAATGTTAAAAGCAAGAACAAACCTTCCAACTCATCCAGCCAGAGTTGGACGCCCGTAGAGGCAGGGCCGGTGGATTTCTGTGCACCTTTTTTGTGACGCCTGGGCAAGGCCTCGGAATCTTCCAGGCAGCAGACAGTCGAAAGGAGTTTATTTGTGAGTTAAACCGATCTGTTCTCAGCACCTCACTTTACACGTGAGGTGACCCAGATGCAGAAGCGCAGCCCTCTCCTGAGTCACTTGGCCAGGTCCTGAACAGCCGAGATGGGAGCCTGCGTGTCCTGTCTCGCCACACCAGCTTCTCCCTCATCAGTGATCACAGAGGCCTCCAAGACTAGGAAGGCACCACAGCTGGCCAGTCCAGGAGGGAGCTAGTCCAGCCGCTGACCCTGACACCTGTGGGGCTTCGTCCGCCCGCCAAGCTCTCTGCTTCCTCAAGGCTCTGTTAGTTTTCCTTCCTCTCTGTTGCCTTCGGTTGTCTTGTTTTTTTTTCTGCTAAGGATGCGAGTTAAGTACTGGTCTTGATGCAGTTTACAGTTTATCAAAGATCGCTGCAGTCACTTGTGTTAGAAGCACTGGTGTGTTTGTTAAGCGTGTAGTCTGGCCCCATCCAAAACCCACTGAATCAGAATGGCTGGGACTGGGGCCCCAAATGATTCTGAGACCCCATTGCTGCTCTGCCCACCCTCTCCTCACTTTTTCTCTCTCAGGGTCCTTGACACTAGAAATTTCCCATGTGCCATGCTTGTTGCTGGCATTTGGTGTGAACGAAGAGGTTGTGAACCCACTGGATATGAAGGACTGTCTCTTACAGAGAGTGAGGCTGGAGTCCAGCAGGGCTATTTGTGGCTGAGTATGATGAAAATTTCTAGTGCCATTTTTCTTTCAAGCTCCTTCCTAGAGCGAGCTGCCACTTTTGTACAATTCAGGACCTTTATTTTCCCTTTGAACCACTGTGCAGAAAGAAAAGGATGATGTTGGGTTGTCCTTTTGTTTTGAGGAGCATCTGAAGGAAGGCTGTGGCACTTGCTCCTGCTCTGTGTCCCCACAGTGTCATTTGTGCGGTCTTACCTTCCAGAGGTTAATTACAGTGGCCCCGACTGAGGCTTCCTGCCTGGTCCCTGGGCTGATTTTAATTACCATCCTTTGCCTGTGTGAATAGGGGAGACGAGAGAGGAGCAGCGAGCCTGGCTGCTGCCTGTAAAACGTACCCAGAAACAGCCATTCACACAAAAGCCCCCTTTGTGTTTTCTGTGTTGCTAAGCCCACCAACAAAAGCTGGATCGTGCAGATTTTATTGTTTGTTTGGAAAGAAACAGTTCATCCTCAGTCTGGGGAGCCGTTAGGTAGCTGCTATAAAGGGTTTTCTGTTTGTTTAGTTTTTTTTTTTTTTTCTTTTTATTATAATCATTTTAAGATTTTGACTCTTACAGCTTTATACTGGTGGGGCTGGTGTGAGCCACAGTTGAACATTCCTAGGCTCTTATATGTTATTTGCTTGTCTGCAGCCAGTCAGAAGCCGTCGGTAAATAACAGAGCAGAACTGGTGGGTGGTCTTTCATTTATTCTTTTTGCCCTTGTGCTGCATCCAGGAAGAAGTTTGATAAGTATTCTCATTTTACAAGGGTTGAGTTGTCTTTGTAGTTTTAATTTGGGGCCAATATCAGAGGCCTGGAATTGCATGAACAGAGGCTAGAGGGCATGTAGCAGAATTTATTGTGGTGTGCAGTTTGCAGTTATTGCCTTGGTCTTTTTCCCAATTGGAAGTCCTAAGCAATAGACAAGCACATTTGTGGGGAGAGAGTGCTGCCTTGGCATTCTTGGGGATCTTTGGGGTTTAACATTTGGTTCACATCCACTGCTATTATTTATGCAAAAGGTGAATATCTGTGCTTTACAATGCATTGATTTGGTAGCCTGGAAGATAGATCTTTTCCGAGGAGTTCTAAATGTGAGGGTATATTGCTTTGATGGCAATTCTCTGGCATCCCTCTCTAAAGAAGTCTTAGGACTTTGCTCACATGTGCCTTCAGCTTGGCAGGCCTTGCTTCTCCTGGGCTACCTGGAATGCTCCCAGTCATCCTTTAAAGCCGCTTAAAGCTTATCTCTTTTGAATTTTTTTAAGGCTCATCCCCCCGGCAGAATTTGTGTTCTTTTAGCACTTTGTATGTCCTAGCATTTGTCACATTGGCTTCCGGACATCTGTCTGTAGGTTGGTCTTTCCTGAGATGTGATTCCCATCAAGGGAGTGGCCAAAGTGGTAGGTCTGTCATTTACCAACTGTGTGTCCTTGGGGAAGTTACCTAATCTCTCTGCATTTTGTTTCTTCTTCTGTAAAATGGGGGTAACAGTAGTGCCTGTTGCATAGCACCGACTTGAGGAATAAATGCTATTTAATAAATCTTTAGAACAGTGTCCGACACTGAGTAAACACCCAGTAAATGCTGGCCATTATCTTCATAAAGATATTATGCCTGGTGCGTACTAAGTTCCTAGCAAATGTCAAGCTAAAATGATCTGTGTCATCTGCCATGCAGCGAGATGTTTGTAAGTATTTGTTGAGTTCAACATTTTTTTTCCCGTTTTGACAGATGTTCAAAAAACATTTTGAACAAATACTCAGAAAAACTTTTGAAGGGAATGGACCTAAATAAGACATGGGAGGATAGATGTTTAGTTTAAAAAAAAAAAAAAGATGAAATAAATAATGATCACGCAAAGCAAAATATTAACGGTTGTGAGAGGGGTCAGCTACTGTGGAAGTGAGAAGAAGGGAGCACTCACTTGTGAGGGGGAAGAATCCGGAAGGTCTGCAGAGTTGCAGGGCACTGTCTGTGGCCTCAAAGGGAGGCTTTCACAGGAGGATGTGTGCAGGTGTCCCAACCAGAGGAGGTGGAAATGTGGCTGGGCCATGATATTGGCCGTAATGGCTAGGAGCCACCGTTTGGTAGAAGGAGTTTCACAAAAGTGGCTTTGGCGTGGAGTCAGGAATTGCCTTCCGTACCCATTCTTGCACTCAACTAACCCTACTTAAACATTGCACGTTGAAGTTCTGTAGTGGTTTGTCTTGGGCCGGTTGGCAGTGCATTTGTGCTGCTCAGGTGAGGCTGAGGTTGGTGGGTTTTCAGTTGCTCTAAAGGTATTTATTATGTAAGTTTCTGGATCCTATCACTTTTATCCCTCCCCATTTCTATTAATGAATGTCTTCACCTGCGTTTGTATGTTCCCAAGCAAAATTCATGTGTTCATCTTTTCGCTCAATGTTTATTGAGTGCTTGGTATATTCTGGACTCTGGGAATGGGGTATATAGCAGTGAGCAAGACTGACAGAGTCTGCTTTTGTGGAGCTCAAATCCAGTGTAGGGAGAAGCAGTAAACAAACCCGCAAGCCGGTAGTGATTCTCTGTTACATAAAGAATTAAAATAGAACGATGTGATGTACGATGACTGGGGAAGTCACGTTAGGTTAGATAGTCAGGGAAGGCCTCAGTGTGGGATGACAAGAGGAAACCAGCCATTCAGAATGACCAAGGGCAAGGTGGGACAAGTGCAAAGGACCTAAGGCAGGAATGAGCTTGACAGATTCAAGGAGCAGAAAACTGGTCGAGCACAGCTGGGGCGAGAGGAGAGAGCGCGGTTAGGGCCAGATTTCCTCCGGGTTTTGTAGGCCTTGGTAGGAAGTTGGGGTGGAATTGGCAGTGTGAAGGGGAGTGACTGGGGGATCTTAAGCAAGGGAGTAGTAACATAGTCTGACCTAACATTTTAGGAAGACCACTCCTGGGACCGTGAACCTGGAGGGAGCAAGAGCGGAAGCTAAAATATTACTAGATAGGTGGTAACAGGCATAAATTTTGTGTTCTGACCATATTACCACATGCAACCTCCAGACTTACTTCTTGATCAAGATTCAGTGGATGTGGGAGGTTTTTTCTTAATTTTTTAAATATGACGTTTCCAGAACTCATAGTAGATACAAAATTTTACTCCAAACTCTTAGGAAAGCTTATTGGCAGACTATCCAAGATAGAAAGAGAATCCTTCAGACCTTCTCATCTGCCCTTTATTTTTTTCTTTTGTCCTTTTCTCTTGTATCCATCTTCCCTGGTCAAGAGGAAAAGGATCTGATCATGTCCTTGGACTTTGTCAGAGTAGGACCCGTGGAATATTGTTCAGGAGACCTCCTAACGAGCAGAAGTAACCAGTGACTTCCCAGAAGACGTCAGGCTGAAGACAGTCATGATTTCCAAGGCCAGGGTTGCTCTGGCTGACACTTTCATCCCTGACCAGGATTTGTTTTTCGTTTCAGGGTTTAGTCACAGGTAAAATTGGCGTGATGGTGGTAGACCCAAGGGGCTGGAAGGAGTAAGACGGAATGCTGATTTGTGCTTCTTAAGGTGATATCCAGAGCTATGCGTAATATAAATATTTTTCCAAGGGTTTGCTGAGCTAAATGTATTTTGACTGCTTTGACCCTTCTACAATCAGGTAAAATTGCATTTAACCCAGCTCCACATAAAGTTTCATACTTTGCAAGCTTGAAAAGCCTGCCTGTCAGAAGTTAGATTTCTGTAGCCAAAAAAAAAAAAAAAAAAAAAAAAAAAAAAGAAAAAGAAAAAGATTTTCCTCCAGCCAAATACCCACTGTCCGGAACCATTCTGTTCTGGGATTCGAATGCGTTGCTTACTGCCACTATCCCCCCCACCATTTTCCAGACAGCAGAGATGGGAAACATGGCGAAGAATCAAGGAAAGGAGGAGAAATAAAGCAGATAAAGCAGCAATAAGCAATTGAAACGGGTGAAGCTGTTTGCAGAACCGACAAGAATGTGATACCCAGTGGATTTGCAGTGTCTGCTGCTTTAGGATTGAGGGAGATTATAAGTCAATCAGGGTGATTTAGGGAAAAACAAACTGTGACATGGTTCATATTTCCCCCCCAGATGGTTTTCTGTTTCCTCTCACATATACTCCAATTGTCCAATTAATTAAGGAAAACCTTGCAGTGGATTTCTTTGGTGAAGCTTTTGCTGGCTGTGAGATTTGAGAGCAAGATTGCATATCTGCTTGGGATAAGAGGGGAAAACGGCTCATTCTGGTATTTACGGGCACCCTCGCTCAATTCTGGCAGCAGTGTCTTCTCAGATCTGCAGCTAGTGTCTTTCGTTGTTCTTCACACCATCAAGGGCCGAAAGGGGAGAAACTCTACTTCGTTTGCGATTCAGGTTCACAGATTACTCAATAATTTCAGCTTTTTCCCCCCTTGCCAGATGCTTCCTTTAAGCATCACCGAGAAAGAGTAAAGAGGCCTTATTTCAAGATCTGTCCTTCTTGCCATTGTTGCATCCTTGGGTCGCAGGGTGCCCTATTCACAAGTGCTCAGGGAAGTGTCAGTCTCTCTCCTTTCTTTTCCCCTCCCCAAAGCGACAGGGTGTGGTGGGGAAAAAAGAGAGGCATAGAGTCAGTCACTTCTGCCACAAGCTTTGTGACTTTGGTTAGGCTGGCTGCTTAACCTCTCTGGACGTTTGTTTGCTCACCTGTGAAAGCTATGAGGATTACCTGAGAGTAAATGGAGCAAGTTATAGAAAAACCTGATTGCAGTACACAGAGGGAGTGTTTTGTCAGTTTATGTGAATTTAGCAAAATGATGGAGCGTCTGCCTATTACAGCATTGCTCTCCACTTGGAAGAGTAGACCGAGATGAGCCAGGGTTGGGTGGCTGCCTTCAAAGAACCGGAGTTTTTCTTGGTTTTTCTCGATATTCACATCGAATAGTGAATGATCAGATATCAGAAGGGGTAAAGAGCTAGATTCAAACTCTCTACTTTAGGGGCGCCTGGGTGGCTCAGTCAGTTAAGCGTCCGACTTCAGCTCAGGTCATGATCTCGAGGTTCATGAGCTTGAGTCCCCCCCTCCCGTCGGGGTCTGTGCTGACAGCTCAGAGCCTGGAGCCTGCTTCGGATCCTGTGTCTGCCTCTCTCTCTCTCTGCCCCTCCCCTGCTTGCTCTCTCTCTCTCTCTCTCTCAAAAATAGATAAACGTTAAAAAACAACAATAACAACAACTCTCTACTTAATTTTTGATCCAGACCCAGGGTAAGACATGCCACATAGTTTTATTTAATCTTTATAACTTATTCCCATTTCCTAAGTGAGGAAACTGAGGCAGTGAGAGAGAGGATATGCCACGGGTATACAGCAGGTTTTATCTTCCTGTACATGTACAGGCTTACTTACTGACTACTAATTAGAAATTTACTACCGGATGAATTCTCACTTCTTGATTACGGGGAGTTTCCTTAGTTACTTTCCTTGGTGTGCATCAGGGTTGCCCCAAGGACCATCTCCCTAAGAGTACAGATTGTACAGGGAGCAGCATGAAGTAGTGTCAGCATTATTTCACCAAAGAAGGAAGCTTGGTCTTTGCTTTTCTTTTGCCACTGCTCAGTGGCTGTTTGGTCTTGGCTAAGTTGATAATCTCCGAATAGCAGCTCTGTGATGTGGCTACTGAAAGTTTCCTATAGGGTTGCGTGAAACAAATGAGAAATTTAATTGCTGTCTTATGCCCTAAATGCAATAAAATGTGAGACATTTTATTATGTTAATACTCTTCTCAAGAAGGAATTAGAAATTCATCAGAAGGAATAGTTTCATTAGAGCTTAGCATAGAACATTAGGAATGTTTTGAATTTAACCGTAAATTGAGGTCAGTGTAAATTATGGCAAGTAAACTTCCCAGTTAAACACCCCTTGGTGCTGTGGTCTAGAAACAGACTTTTGACTTGAACAAACTACGGACCTGACTTAAGAAGGGACTTTTGCCAGGTGTTTGTTTAAATACCACAGAGAGGTAGAAAGAGGACCGGACTTGATTTCGGAAGGCCTAGGTTCAGGTGCTGGCGCTGCCACTCACCAACTTTGTAACCTTGAATTCTACTTTGTCTCCTTAAGCTTTGATTTACTCATCCTAAGTTCAGGATAATGGTGCCTGCCCTTTCTTTGCCTGGGGGTCATTTCAAGACTCAGAGAGGTAATGGGACAGGAGAGCACACTGTAAACCATAGGTGGCCAATTAGTTCTTTCGTTCATGCGGGTGAGAAGTGAGGATGGGAATGGGAACGTTTGGCGGACTGTTTTGTGACATGTATCCCTCTCTCCTCTTGCTTCCTTGTTGCTGAAGGTGGATGGGCAGGTGGTAGCGCTGCTTGTGCAGAATCTGGAGCGCCTGGATGAGTCTGTGAAAGAAGAGGCAGACGGTGTCCACAACACTCTAGGTGAGGGGCAGGTGACCGCTGATCCTGAGACGCTGTGTTTGTTTTGGGGCTTGGTGCTCATTTCCCTTCTTCCTTCATAATCGAGTCAACAGCAGGTGTTTTCTTTCCTTCTGCTCCCAGACTGCCTTTCCAGAAATGAAGACCCTTGTGTAAATTTCATATAACTGCAGCTCTGGTTTGGCTTGCAGGTAATAAAAGCAGAAATCCACTAAGTAGATAACCTTCCTGGACAAAAACTGGCTCCTTTTAGCAGCGCTTTGCTTTTTTATTTTGATTTTTTTAGCTTTAGAACGTGTATTTTACCATTTTTAAGCCCTGTATGTTGGTTTTTCTTCCTACTTTCCTTCAGTGAGACTAGAAACTTTGGAACTGTCTTTATAAGACAGTTTATTTGAAAACGAGTTAAGTGTTTGTCTTTTTATGTGTAGTTTACCACGTAAACTGATTGAAATACTGCTGTTAACTTGCATGCACCTTCATCAGTGTTAGTTTAGGTGGACTCTTCTGCAGTATTTCCCTTCTTCCTCCTCGAATCTCCCAGCTCTTTCTCCCTGTAAAGTTGTTGGACCATTAGCCTATTTAAAATTGTGCTTTTGCAGGATGCCTGGGTGGCTCAGTGGGTTAAGCGTCCAACTTTGGCTCAGGTCATGATTTCACGGCTTGTGAGTTCGAGCCCCGCACCGGGCTCTGTGCTGACAGCTCAGAGCCTGGAGCCTGCTTCAGATTCTGTCTCCCTCTCTCTCTGCCCCTGTCCTGCTGGTTCTTTCTCTCTCTCAAATATAAATAAACATTAAAAAAAATTTTTTTGATGTTAAAATAAAATTGTGCTTTTGGGTAGTCCTCCTTATCACTAGTCATGTCTTGTTAAAAAAAAACAAAACAAAACAACGGTGACATATCTTTAAGCAGAGCTTGAGAAATAAATGAGGCCCAGCTGAAGCAGAAATTTTGATGAGATCAGATTTTTCTCTCAGCTCTTTTTGTCTTCCACAGATTTCTCTCGTAGTTTTATATTCTCTTCTGTGACCATTATCACAAAGAAGAGGGGAGGCATAGCACCTAGGGAGTAAGAGAAGAGAGAACACAATAATCTGTAACTTGGGGGTTGGCTTTAGTCTAGAGCTAGAATTTGGCATTGCCATCTGTTAGCCTAGTACTGGATTTTGCTGAGTAGATAGCTTATCAGAAGTTTTAACTGACTGTTAACAAAAAAGGGGCCTGGTATAATGGAAAAAGCACCGGGCTGGCAGTCTGTAGAGATCTGTGTAGTTTCAGCTTCGTCACCCACCAGCAGCCCAGGAGATTTATCCCTCTCTCATTTATTGGGCACCTGCTGTCTGTGAGGCACTGTGCTAGGCACTGGGGTAGATTAAAGAGGAATTTGGCATGGTCCTACTCCTGAAGAAGCAGACTGATGGGAAAGCCTTGAACAGAAAGGAAAGGCAATACAGGGTGAGAAATGGTATAATAGGAGTCAGTGCAGAGCAGTATGGAAGTAGGGGAGGGTCTGCAAAGGTAGCTGATTGGAGCTAAATATGAAGCCGGGTGCATTTTGACAGAGAAATGAGAGAAGGGCCTTTGAGTGGGGGAGAGTCACTTGCAAAGCCATGAAAGGGCTTGGGCTTTGGAGAAAGAGGAGAAATGGACTGTGGCAGTAGTGGGAGAGGACACGGAGGCAGGGGTTTGCCCAGATCATGGAAGACCTTGTAAACCAAGGCAGGATGATTGGATTTTACTCTGGTGGGCAGCAGGAAGCCATCTGAAGCGCAAGCAGAGGAATAAGGTAAGGGCATAGAAGATTAAAATGAAGGAGTTGGCTTTCCTAGAAAGTAACCTAGGGTATTGCGGTGGTCCTCGTCTCTCAGGGATCTTGTTGCTACTCTGCTTCCGTGACTTTGAATTCCATTCCCTGAGGGGGTGGCCCACTGAGTCTTTAACTGGCCACAGGCGAGGCTGACAGGGGCAGAGGAGTGAGGAAGAATGTAAGAGGCATAGTGATTTCTTCAGCCCTTTCTCCTTCAAAACTCAGACCTGATGTGTTCTGGGCATTGGGTTAGAGAACCTGGAACTAACTCTGTCTCCTTTATAATAGTAACATAACCTGGGTTATGGAGCAGAAGGGGCCCTGAAGGAAGTGAACGCATTGGATGTGTTAGAATGGAACTATAGGGGATTTTTTTTTTTTAAGTGTCCTTTTTTAGTATCGTAGTCATGTAATAACTTTATTTTCCTTTGGCCTCCTAAGTTTAATTTTTCTATTAGGCAGCAATTTGGCTGTTGTAAAAGATAGCAGGACCAATTATATTTGTTTCCGCCTACCTGACAGTTAACTCTGCCAGCATGGCCTTTTCCCTCTATGCATATTATTGTGTTCAATTAAGATCATGCTTGCTTCCCTTGTAATGTCCAGAGAAAGAGGACTGAAAATGAATGACTCTGGAAAGGCAGAGATTCTGAATTCACCATCCCTGGATTTTTTTCTAAGGCTTCTTACCTAGTCCCCTGTCCCTTCAGTTACAGGCCTCCGGGACACCAGCACAGTGAGGACTGAGAAGGCCTTCCTAGGCACATACACACCTTTCTCTGTGTCCTGCTCTGGTGTTGTTCCCTATTAGCACAGAACATCTGTTACTTATTTCTTTCTGTGAATTTCATCATTTTTAGTTACACGTTTTACTTGCAACATAACCTAAAAAAAAAAAAAAAGCAAACC